TCCTGGAAAGTTTCCAAAATTTCTGGAACGTTTCCGAAATTTACTAGAAATTTTCCACCTTTTTGCAACCCTACTTGTAAGAAAGCCGGTTTCCACCTCAGAAAAAAAAAAAAAATGTTAAAGCACAATTCTGACTTTATTTCTCTCAGTTCCAACTTTTTATTTTCTCAGAGAAAGTGTCAAAATTATGAGATGTTCATTTCGGGAAAGAAAAAGTCAGAATTGCAAGATGTCAATTTAAAATTCAGATGAAAAAACTCCAAATTCTGGGCCAAAAAAATCTGAATTGCGAGATACACACTCGGAATTCCAAGAAAAAAAACAGACTTTTTCCTTTCCTGGAATTCTGAGATATTTTTTTGAAATTCTGAGGAAAAAAAGTCAAAGCTACATGATATAAATTTGAAACTCCAAGGAAAAAAATTTGAATTGCGAGAGGTTTTAACTTTGAATTTCCGAGATAAAGTCAAAATTGCGAGATATAAACTTCCAAAATTTAAAGGAAAAAGGCCAGAATTGTGAGCTGTTAACTCAGAATTTTGTGGGAAAAAAGTCAGAATTGCGAGATACAGACTTGGAATTCCAAGAAAAAAATGGCCTTTTTATGTTCCTGGAATTCTGAGATATAAATTTGAAATTCTGAGGAAAAAAGTCAAAGCTGTATGATATAAACTTGAAATTACAAGGGAAAAAAATAGAATTGTGAGATGTTAACTGAATTCCGAGAAAAAAAGATACAGGTTTGAAAATGTCAAAATTGCGAGATATAAACTTCCGAAATTCGAAGGAAAAAGGTCATTTAAAAGATGTTAACTCAGAATTTTTTGGGAAAAAGTCAGAATTGCGAGATACAGACTCAGAATTCCAAGAAAAAATTCTGACTTTTTCTTTCCTGAAATTTGAAATTCTGAGGTAAAACTTCAAAGCTACGAGATATAAACTTGAATTTCCAAGGAAAAAAATTTGAATTGCAAGATTTTAAATCTGAATTCTGAGAAAAAAAGTCAGAACTGCAAGATACAGATTTGGAATTGCAAGAAAAAAGTCGGAATTGCGAGATCCTAACTACAAATTTAAAGATATACACTCAGACTTGCCAGAAATAAATTAAGAATTGTGTAATAAAAAAAAGTCAATTACCTTTATGTTCACATTGCGTGGTGGAAACAGGCTTCCATATACTTGAGATTCTTATAAACTGAGCTTTTTCAGGTTGCATAGCAAAACAAGGAGCGCAAAACTACCGACAGACGTTTTTTTTTTTCCAAACTCAGAAAGAAATGTTTCATCCAAAGCGGCTTTACAAATAGCTTTACCACCATGGGATAATATATATACCTCTTTCCAAAACACCTGACTCTATTTCATCTCATAATAAAAAATATATCACACGTAGAAGCGAAGGACCCAGCTGCTATATATGTGACTTTTGATGATACACCTTACGTTAATAAAAAAACAACGTCTGAGAGCCGAGCAAGCCGCAGACAATAGCAACTCTCCGTATCCATCATATCGCATACTGTATCTTTGATACGTCTTCAAAAGACGTCCCAGTGTCTGTATACAGCATCCCGCTCACAGTCTTTTCATACAGAATGATTCAAAATAAATTAAAACAAAGATTGGCCATGCTCTTTTATCAAATTACAAGGCGAAAAAAAAAGAAGAGAAAAATATCACCATTGGCTCTTCCATCCAGGGCAAAGAAAAACTGTGATTTTAATCCCCAAACCTTAAGGATAAAAATAGTTTTCTAAGATGATCGGAGGACAGAGGCGTTAAAAACTCTAGCAGCTAACACTGCTGCGAATCCCCGAATCCCACTCGCTTGATCGGCTTGTGCAGAGAGTCTCCTGAAAGAGTTCCTTCCTCCATCATCTGTACCTCTGGTTATTCTTTCACTGAGGGGAGAGGACAGCCGAGTCCTGGGCGTAATCATTAGACAGTTCCTCTCGTTCTCTCATGTCCATTTCCTCTGTAGATTCACCTGGAGGACTTCAGTGTCACCGGAACTCGTAGATGGGTGCGCTGTGTTCAGGGACGTGTGTGAGGTTCAAAGACTGATACCTGATAAGAACAGGATTACAATTGGGTTCCTGAGGTGATATATATTGAAGATTTATGATAAACATTTTTTTTTTAATTCTATACCATTCAGAGCTTCTGTGGTAGTAGTAACCCTCTAT